CGGGCGGGCGCCCCCGGGGGGTGAGAGGGGCGCCGGGGGACCGAGCCCGCGTCCTGAGGGCAGAGGCGTTTCTGCTGAGCCCCAGGCGAGCCGTGGCTCCTCGCCGCCCGTTGAGGCAAGCGTTAAGGGAGACGGGTTGCCGCGCTGCGCTCCCGGAGGAGGCTGGCAGTGCGTTGTGCGCCAAGGTAAACGGTTTTCGAGGAGTTCGTTGCGGAGCGCGTCTGTGGGGCCGGTGAGTAAACTGTCTGGGCGCGCGTGGCAGGTAGCGGCAGTGCGGGGTATCGGCTGGGCTCTGGTCTCAGGCACGCGTGGCAGCCGGAGGTTGCCGTGTTCTTCTGACTGACTTTTGCTCTGCTTGTGACAAGAGACCGGGATGGAAAAGCCGGCTCCTCTGCATAAGTTTGAGCACCACAGTATATAACCTGGAGAGACCCGCAGGCTATTCATACAGGAAGCAGTCCTGTCAGATCAGCATTAGAGGAAACATGTGGGGCCCGCTGGAAAAAGTGCGGATCCTGCACATTTTTTGCCTTTTCTACAGAATCCAACTTTAGAAGGTTGTGGGTTTTTTTTTTTTTTAAAGTTTGCATTTTTTTGTGTGTGGGGGACCTTCAGAATACGATACTGAGGATTTTCTGAGGAATGTAGCCTCCAGTCAGATAAGCAATAGAAAGAAGGTGCTAGCATATGTTGTCCTTTGGTCTCGGTGGGGGTGTAGTTCAAAGCCCCAGCAGGCCAATGGAGATACAGGGGCTCTGCTGGGCAGGAGTCGGCAAAGCAGTGGCGATCTGGGGGATTCTGTTAGCACGGTGGAGAACGCACTGGTCTGTCACAGAAGATGGTGTGTTTTCAGGAGAGCTTTTTTGGTCTCTTGGTGTTATGGAGACAGTGTGGGTGGGACTGTTCTGTTCCTCCAGTTTTCTTCCACAGCAAGTATGCTAGAGTGCTTGCCTCCCAAGACAGACAATTCTCATCTGAGAACTTGAGAGCCATAAAGAAGCAATTTTTCTTCTTCCTGTTGTCTATAAGGGGAAGATTGGCTGTCTTGATAGCTTAGTGGACTGCTGAAATGCCCCTTTTGATTTATGTAGCCCTGCCTTTTCCCTTGCTCCTTTTCCTTGTTTTTCTTGTTACTTTTTACCAGCTGATCAGGTTTGAATTTAGCTTTTCCTCCACCCTCTGCTCTTTATTTCTTTCTGATCACAGAAGCTGGAGAAGCTAAGACTAACCCGGGCCACGTCGTGTCCGTTTCCCGTCTAATGCAGGAGTATCTGGAGAGATGTGTTCGCTGTAACTTAGTTTAATCTCAAAAGCCTGCAGCAGAGAGGGCTTCCACTACATCATCTGGAAGATGGTTTAGCTGTTGAACAGACCTCTCTGGAACACTTCCCCTGCTTCATGGCAAACCCAATGCAGAGAACCTCCCCTGATCTCTGTGGCAAGGATGGATTGGTCTCATTCGGTCTCCACCTTCCTGTGATTGGTTTCATTCCTTTCCTTTGGGTCATTCTCCTGCTTAATCCCTCCCCTTCCTTAGTGTTTGGAGCCTTTGGAGACCTCCTTATCCCATTAGTGATGTCACTGTTTAGGTAAGTGATTCACATTAGCTAATCTTGACTGTTCTAAACCATTTTATTTTTTCTGTGCAGTTCTGCCTTTCCTCTGATTAGCCAATGTGTCAACAGAGCAGCCAAGCTGGATGGAGCAGGCTCTGCACAGTTTGAACACCATGTAGTGCTATTTCTCTCTTTTCCTCTGACAGGCCTCAAACGGCAGATGCCTGCCCAAGCTGGGAGTTCTTGTTGGTCATGGCTCGCTCATTTAGACACATCCCTCTGACTGTGTGTTGCTTTTTATCAAGCAGTTCCAACCTGCTGAATAGCTTGATATGAATTATCTTTGCTTGGAGGCACTGGCTGTTCTTTATCCTCTGGCTGAAACTAATTTTATTTCCTTGCCTTTTCCTTTTCCCTCAGGCACCTTTTAATATTATTTTCCACATTTCCAGATTTATCATTATCACCAGGATGAACCTCCCCATCTTTCCAGTGGATGTTCAGTAGAACAGAGTGGAGTCAACAGGAGCCCAGTTCCTTCTCTAGCCTTTCTTACCTTCCAGCACTGCTGTGTGACCATCCTTCTGATGCTTTCACTTGTCCATGCTTAACAAAGACGTCAGCAACATCTTGGATACCACCTGCGTGTTCCAATCCCCTAGTGCCGAAATCAAAATGCCGTTCAGTTTGCATGGCATGGCCACCATGGATGGTTCCATGCTTGTGGCCTTCCAAAGGTTCAAGGAGTTTTCCTGTTGTGACTTTTCACATGCTTTTCTTTTTTACCTAAGTTAAATTAGCTGATGGCAGTTTTCTGGCTGCTGCTTCTTTCCCTTTTTGAAAAGTCATTGGGAGGAGGTGGGGGGGGGAGAGTGAAGCTTAGTCGGTATGCAGGAGACAGGGCATGATCAGGAGAGAGGGTAAAGAAGAGGCTGGAAAAAGGAAGGAACAGAAAGTGAACCTTGAAAGGTGGAAGGAGGCTCCTGTGCAGGAGAAGGCAGCGGGCAAGAAGCTGTGGCCAGAAGGAGCCTGGTAGAAGAGGGGTTGGTGCTGTGTGTGGAAGAGGACAGCAGCAGAGCTCGGCTAAGGCTTGTAACAGAGAGATAAATGGCAGCAGGTTAATCTGAATTGCAGTGTGTAAATGCTGCCGAGTGGCTGGACATGATAGAAAGCTTCTGTGTATGCAGGGCTTGATGGCACTCCCTCTGACTTCAAATGGCTAGTGACCATGTGAGGACAGCTCAATGAGTGAAAAAGGGGTGATGCTCACACCCTAGGCAACACTGTGATGGCAATGCCCCATCATGGGGACATTCAACCTTACATTTCCCCTCTTGGCAGACCCCAGCGGCTGCAGAGCCTAATGAATTCATCAACCTCTTCCAGAGCCTGTGATAGTTTTTTGACAAAATCCTACTGAGCACTGGGGAGCATTGTCCTGAGTCTCTGCTAGTTTCCTCTCTCTGTTCCGTCTGTACTTGCCAGCCACTGAAACTAAGGAATAAGGATTCATCTCAGCTCAGTGGAAATACACTATGTTAGACAGCTGTGTGGAGGCCTTTAGTGGAAAACCAGCTAAACAGTACAAACGTGGAGCCTTCCCCTCTGAAGCATGACTGGTGGGGATGGGGAAGAAGGCTAGGTTTGCAGTGAAGAGGGTTAGGGCTTGGGTGTTACTGGGGAATGTGTGAGCTATACTGTCTTTTCTTGCTACTCCCCTTCAGTTAGGGAAGCAGCGTCCCTGAACTTAAGCCCACTGGCTGTTTACCAGAGTCCTAAACAAGCCAGCTGCTGTCTCTCATTGCTCTGTGCTGTCTTGCAGGTGTGCTGACTTGCAGTGCCAAAGTTTGGGCACCTGAGTAGTTCTTCTAAAATTGGGGAGGGGAACATTCCTGGAGCAGCAGGCTTGAGTTCTCCAGCTTTGTCCTGAGTTAAAGTATCTGGGACACACCAGTTGAGAAGGATAAAACCAAGAGTTGCTAAATGCTTCCCTTTGATTAGTAAGTTGTGTGTGTGTCCAGGGTTAGCTGACCGTGAGGGAGTGCTCACTGTTGAGAAACCAGCCCTTCTTAAAAGGGATGCAGGCTGGGAGTCTTAAACTATGTGATGTGATTCTTGAAGATTCTAGGAGAGAAGTAGAGATTTTCCCCAAAGTCTTCATCTTTAACAGTCATTTCTTCTCTGTTGCTGGTCTGGAAGCAATCCATGCCAGAAGTGTCAACAGGGAGACAGTGCCTGCATGCAGTGCTGTTCACTGCATTTACTGGGCTTTGTTAGGAAGAGGCACAAGAGAAATGGCTCACACTCATGCTCTGCAGGTCTGCTCTAACTTTCAAAATTTGCTTAGAGTCAGTGTGCAGAATAGAGGAACCAAGGCACAAGTGTTTGATAGAAGTTGCTAAGTTGCTCAGTGAAGGTGAAGGAAGGGTGTGCGGGCTTGTGTGCTAGATCCAGCACTCCTAGTCCAGAGCAAGGCTGCAGCCCTGTCCTTTGCCTGTCAGGGGCAGGTGATGGTAAGTATCCAGCATTGCCTGTCGCTCGGGCTCCTTGCCTCTGCATGTGTATTTCAGCCCTAAGCTCACCAGATGTTTTACTGGTCCTTACAAGGCTTGATTGGACTGAGACTGGGTTTAGAAGTTGCTTTTGCTGATGGTAAGGAAGCTTCTGATCTTCCTTCGGACCTGTGTTCACTTCTTGGTGGTTTGATTCTGCTTGGCTGGGGACTGCCTGATGCAGAGATAAGGGAGGGGGAAAAAACATTGCTTGTCCACCTCTGTGTGAACTCTAATCTCCCTGGGAATTTGCTTTCTAACAGGCTTCCCTGGTGATTTTTTTCAATCCTTGTTTGAAGAACTGGATGGGAGGAATTGGCTCATTTAGGACTTTCCCTTCCTAGAAGGGCCTCTGCTGAGGGAAAACAAGCCCAGCTGAGGAAAGGACCAGGTGCTGCCACTGAGCACAAAGCAGGTCCCCTAAGCTTATCCTGGCCTGTGCCTACACCATCTCCCTCCTGGCCTCACTTTAGTGCTTTGGGAGCCTGGAGGAGGAGATGTTGGGAGTGTTAGAGGAGGGCTGTGAATCGACTGCTACTCCTAGTTTTGGAGGAGGCCTGATGCTTTTCTGGCCCCTCATTCAGGTGCTGTAGTCGGATTCCTGCAGCACAGCGGCCCACAGCCTTTTGAGTGCCTTTGGTTGGGACCCATTGCAGCTCCCCCAGCGAGCAGAGCTCACTGTTGAACGCCCTTTTAGGTGCAACGCTTCTCAGCCTTCTCAAAATGTTGGGGAAAGCCCATCAAGCCTGTGCTGATGTTGCCTCCAAGGGTGTTTCTCAGCCTGGCAGGCGTGCTGATCAGCCTCCATATAAAGCTTCACTGTGCTGTTACCCCACAGCCAGGCCTGTTTAGAGGAAGACGGCCGGAAGCAACCAGCTGTGGGTCACTGGAAGCCGCTAATGCCATCCAAAGGCGGCAAGGAGGAGCCAGAGCATGGATGCCAGGACCCAGGAGGGGATGAGAGCCAGTCCACTGAGCAGCTCAACGTCTCTCGTCTGCGCAGCTCCTCAGTGGAGATCCGTGAGAAGGGATCTGAGTTCCTGAAGGAAGAGCTGCACAGAGCACAAAAGGTAAAGGCCAGGGTTTGCGAGAACACCCGGTGATGAAGGTGCAGACTTGAGAAGTGGGGTTTTCTTAGAGGCGAGGGAGGGAAGGGGCTGAATGTGGTCATGCCGCAGTGTGGAGCATGTGGAAGAGGAGATGATGTCCTGCTCCAGAGTACTTTAGTTGGTAGGTTGGCCCAAAGCCTCTGTGCTAACATCCAAAGTAGTCCTGGAAACCTGCTATAGGGGAGTCTGAGATGCAGAAAGCAGCTTGAGGCAGGCAGTGCTGACTGTGTGGCCGTCTTGCTAATGGCAAATGAGCAATTGCAGCCTGAAAAGCCTACCGCAACTCATGGAGAGGTGCCTTTGGCGCCGGTGAAGGTGGTACAGAGCTTAGCGACAGGAGTCTTGGGGCTGAGACCCATGGTGTGATGGGGAGGAAGGGTGTGATTGACAGATGGTGGGGCAGGCAGACGTCAGCACAGCTGGGGCCTGCAGCGTGCGCACGTATCCCTGTCCATTCCCTTGACAGGAGCTGAAGCTGAAGGACAAGGAATGTGAGAGACTGTCGAAAGTCAGAGAACAGCTGGAGCAGGAACTAGAAGAGTTAACAGCTAGTCTGTTTGAGGTACCACCCTCCTTCTCTTCCCATCATTTCTTAATCTAAGCTCACTTCCATTGCCTTTGAGATAGGCTTTCCCTGAACTTCTAGCCGTACTCATGTCTCCTCCCTTAGTTTCCTCCTTCCCTCTGTTTTTTCCCCACTTGGAGAAGCAGAGTTGGGCAGTGCTGCAGGCAGAGCCTTGTGGAGGCTGATACCTGTTCCTGGGGAGGGTTTGCATGGGTTCCCCTCCCGTCCTGGCACCTGTAGGGTGACATAACACAACAAGCAAGTGTGGGTTCATGGTTGCAAACCCAAGCAAAACTGGATGTGGGGATGCGCATAGCTGGAGGTGAGCATGGCTCCCTGTCCCCATCCTGTGGCTACTCTGTCTGGACAGAAGCTGCTATGTAGTAAAGATGAGTGACAGGTGGCCCTAGCTCATGTCAGCCCTTGCCTGGGGCAGGAGCAACTGGAGCGTCCCCAGCATACTGGGCTCCAGTGATGGCTCAGAGGGCCTGTAGTTTGTGTGTGTATGTGTAAAATGGGATTCTGGCCAAATCCTATGCTGGCAAAATCCCATTTCCCACCAGCTCTAATCTCTAGATCTGACTGGCCAGTGAGGAAGGCAAGAGCCCAACTGCATCTTTGAGGCACAGGCTGGTGTTGCATGTAAGGGCCCTGAGAGCGTCCCGCCTCCTGGAGATTTGGCTGCCTGGGCTCAGGGCCAACTTAGCGGTAGTGTAGCTGAGGGCTGCCCCATTTCCTTTGGTCACCTTAGAAGGAGTGATCCCAGGCACTGCTGTGGTGAGGCCTCAGACAGGGCTGACCCCACTTCCCCATGGGAGCAGCTTTTAAGCTGAGCCTCTGCTGTTTGGCCCTTGCCTGAGCTACTGCTCCTGCTATGTCGCGGCCGTGCCTGTGCTGTCGGGGAGCTGCGATGGCCTACTGCTCTGCCAGGGAAGGTGAGCTGGGAGAATAGTGCGACAAGGCAGGCAGGAGCAGTGCCAATGAGGAGCCAGGATGCGGAGCAGCAAGTTCAGGTCAGGATTGGGGCCAGAGGCAGTGATCGTGGTCAGATGCAGTCCAGTGATCACCCAGCAAGTCTGTAGTGAGAAAGCAGGTCTGAGGTCAAGCCAAGAAGCCCAGCCAGCGGCTCTGTGTCAGAATTGTGGAGGAACGAGACTGGACACAGACATAGCTGCTGCATGGCTGTGACATAGCACAGGTGGGGGCCAGCAGTAAGGCCTCAGCTTTAAAGCAGGTCTGGGGTGGGGGAAGGAGGGACAAGCTCGTGCTTCTAACTTTCTTCACAACAGCTCTTATCAGCAAAGGAGATGACCTTGGACTCGGCCAGCTAAAGTTCTAGAAGGGGGATGCACTCTGGCCCCGATGCTGAGAGCCTTGTTCTGGGGAGTTCTGGGGGAAGACTTTGCAGCTGACGGTGTAAAAACCTTTGGATGTGTCAGTGACTGTCTCCCTGCCTGCTCGCACAGAGCACGTGATATGGCAGAGCTGTGCCCTGCCTGGTGAACTCTGCGAGTTGGGGCTGCAGCAGGCAGACTAAAATTCTCTCTGGTCCAGGAAGCGCACAAGATGGTGAGAGAAGCAAACACTAAACAGGCGGCGTCAGAGAAACAGCTGAGGGAGGCACGGGGGAAGGTGAGAACTCTGCTCTCTGTGACTTGATCTCTGTGCTAGGCTGGTGCCATCCCTGCCCAGCCTCGCCATGGTGCTGTTTGTTGGCTGGAGGAGAGCAAAGCGTCTGCTGCTCTGCCTCCCTCAGATGCTGTGTGGGCTCTGCTCCCTCTCTAGCAGAAAATGACTGAGCGGGGGCGAAAGGCTTCCTTACAGTCCTCTGCTGATCCAGCTGCCCTTTGAGAAATGGATGCCAGAGGATCCATGGAGAAGCAACCTGCTGCTGTTCAATTGCCATAGCTCTGTGGATGGAGAGAGTAGGGAGCTGGACAGTGGCAATTTCCTGACTAAGCTGCATCACGGGGCTGCTGAAGTGTTGCTTTCTTGAGGACAAAGAGAAATTGCTTCTGGGTTATTGGGTTTAAAAAAAAAAAAAAAAAGCCTGGAGCTAAATGTGCTCAAACTGTTTAGGTGGTGAGGGATGGATTCCCAAATGCTATTGTTTCTTTAGTTAAGATTCTAGGTGATGGCAGGTGTTTGGGGGAACGAGGAGAAGGCTTCATGACTGGGCCTGTAGCTGGTAGCCTTATGTAGCCTGTCGGGGTTCTCTTTGGCTTTTGTGTTTGGTGGTGTGCTCCAGGCTCAGCAGGTGCTGAAGGTGCTGCTGACTCTTGCCTTGTCTCCTCAGATTGACATGCTGCAGGCTGAGGTGACAGCTTTGAAGACTCTGGTGATCACATCCACACCTTCCTCTCCAAACCGGGAGCTGCACCCCCAGCTTCAGAGTCCCTCCAAAGCTGTCTTCAGGAAAGGGCATGGCCGAAACAAGAGCACCAGCAGCGCGGTGGTCTCAGCTGCCAGCCAGATTGTGACCCCAGAGCCAGTCAGCCACGAGTGCAAAGAGGTAGGTGAGGGCAACTGACTCCCTCAGCCTTGGAGCACTGCTGTCACTGTGCTCCAAAGGCAAGGTTCTGTGCGGGGCTTCCTGGAAAGCTCTGTGGTTTTCAATGTTGCGAGAAGTTGTGTGAGCAGAAGTGTGACTTGTTCCCCAAACTGTGCTGAGCCAGGCCCTGGAGGGTTTCCATTTGTGGAGACTTCCTCTTCTGGGAATGGCATTCAAGGCTGCTTCAGGAAAACTGCTAGAGGAAGCAGTTTAGGGATCCCCAAAGGGCATGGACAGATCCAAGAGTCAGCAGTGCTGACGGTGGGTGTGTCAGGAGCTGCTGAGTAGAGAGCCAGTTTTCTGCTGCATCTTGACAGTTGAAACCGCTACCTACTCTGACATGATTGGCTTTGGTACCTAGTATGGCTTAATGGTTGGAGTCCAGGCCTGGATGCCAGGACTCCTCCATGAACTTCTGATCTCTTTTTCCTGTTGTTTGCTCTTGGGCATGTCACTGTTCTTCTTTGTACAAGGTATATACTTAATGTTTGTCTTCCTCACCAACCGCATGTTATTGAGAAGCATAAAAGGCATTTGATAATATCTTTCAACCAATCCTGTTTAATTCCCTTCACTGATTTTTTTTTTTAATGATCTTTTCTGTTTGTTCCCTCCCTGCTGTGACCTTGGGTCTAAGTAACAGTCTTGCCTGCTAGAAGGACCTTTCCAGCTGAGACTAGCCAGATGTGTGCACAGCTGTGCCAGGGACCAGAAAGAAGACTGCTTGTGGAATTTGGTCAGGAAGAATGAAAATGAGCGAAAATACAGAGGAAGGTGGGGGGGTGGGGAACAGGTCTGCTGATTTTTCAGGAGCTGCAGCTTCTGTCTTGAGGCAGTGTGCAGGGAACGGGGAGGCACCTGGTCGCTTGGCACGCGTGGAGGACACGAGCATAAAGGCAGTTAATGAAATGAGCACCCTCACCAAACAAGACTCTGCTGGCGACAGTGGTAACCTCAGCGTTTGGCAATGAATTTGATGAATGTGCCTTGTTAGCTTTTATGTAGTGCTCTTGTTTCTAGAGTTTGGAGGAAATGCTTCAGGCAGTGTTGGCTCTAGTCCCTGTCCTGCGACAGCAGGAACAACAAGAGGTGAAGATCTTTAACTCTGCTCACAGAACGAGGATAGAAAGCTATATTAGAAAGAAAACTAAGGAGAAAATCAGCACAGTAACTGTAAAGCCGTGCTGCACTGGTTTCTCTTAGTCAAGCAGAGAAGAGTCCAGACATGCTAGAAGCTGGAGTCAAATATATAGTCAGTCAGAAGCTGCTTTGGGGGCCAAGAAGAAAAGTTTTTAATATTTAGGTCCTGTGACCTCTCCCAATGCTAACTATTCCTTCAGTGAGGACAGAGGAGCTGCAAACCTGAGGCTCCCCACCCCCCCACCCCGAGTTAGGTGAATCACTTGCTACCCTGTAGAAGTCACCCTGTGCCTACACTAAGCAGGGATAACTTTTGCCGACTGGGTCGTTCATTGGGCTATTCTCAGCTCAACCTCAGCAACGCTTGCGTGGATGTTGTTCAGAGAAATGCTAGCTCTTATAAATGACTTGCTGCTTGAAGGTCTGGACCTGTCAATGTTACAGATCGCATTTCTGTGTATAGACGTTTCCATTTGCTGCAGATATCTGTGGGCTTAAAATGCCAAGGCTTTTGAAGTGACTAAGTTCCCTAAGTAACTAGTTTTATGTATTAAGGATGACTGTGTTGTATATGTTTTTTTTTTATTTTCTTTTTTTTTTTAACTTCTTAAACTTCTGCCTCTCTGCCTCCCAAATTGCCTATGCGAGAGGTGATAAAAGGGAACCTGGCACTGGGAGAGTAAGTGCTCAGTGCTTTATGGAAAAACATGCACCTTCTTAAACTGAGCCTAAAAATGGCAGAACTGCTGTTCCCTTTTTTGCACCTCAGGCTGAAGTCCGAAGCGTGGCTTGTGGCCCCGTGATATCTTGAGGAGTGTACTTAGCTCCCAGAAGGAGAGGGGCTTCAGCCTGTCTCTTTATCTTCTGTTTGTCTCATGTTCTTTTTACGTCTCTTTCTTGCCTATCTCTAAACCCTTTCCTTGACTGTCTCTCTCTTCCTCTGCCCTCGAAGTCTGGGGTACCTGCTCTCCTCTCTCTGCTCCTTTGTATCATCCCTGGGAAGGCTATCCACATCACCTATGAACCAGGCTGGCAGGCCTTGGGGGCAGATGCTTCCTCATCCTTGCGGCAGGTAACCTTTTTGGAGGCTGGGCAAGGCATTCAGAACAGGATTGGGGAGGGTGGGACCCACGTGCCTCTCGCACTTCCAGCTTTTCAGTTCTAGCTTCCTTTTATGCTAACCTCCATTTTTGTTTTGTTTCTGTTTGTTTCTCAAATTGTTTTTCCATCTTGTGGCTCTGAAGCTGTCTCCTGGCACCAGGTGAGCGGTCTCCCTAGCACAGAGCGAGTGTGCTAGAACTCGGACCTTTCTCAGCTTTGTTCACTCATTCTCTGTATTGCTCAGTGGTGTGTGGTTTGTTTGTTTTTTCTTTTGTGGGTTTTTCTTGTTGTGGTTTTTCTCCTCCTTCTCCTTTCGGCAGCTTTAACAGGATTTGCTGGCCTTTTAAGGAGATGCTCTGTCAGTCAGGTTGGTGGTTGGGCTGATGCTACCATCTGGGGTTGAAGTGTTGGGTCCCAGAGAGTCTCCAGCCAGCCGCGAATGCAGGATGGAGGGAGCGACCTTCCTACTGGCTCAGGAGAGGGGAGCAAACTCTGTCCTGGGCCTCTTATTGCTGAGGAGTGGTAATACTTGCAAGCCCATCTGTAAAGGGAATGAGTAGGCATTGGAATCTGGATCTATTCCTGCTCTTTCAGCTCCCTTTGAGAGACCTAGCTTTTTACACTCGGCTTGCCTCTGCCAGCCTATGTGACTGCCCGGTGTTCCCATTACTTCTGAGGCTCCCTGAACACTCAAGTTCTGGACTTGGAGTGGTCTTTAAAGGGCTGGCACACCTTGTTACTTGGACTTGCTGATTGTAGTCTTGCTGATGGCTGTTTGTTGGTAGCTTTCTTCAGTTCATCCTTTCTTTGTAGCAATCCTTTGCTTACAGGGGTTCTGTCTCCTGTGTCCTGGGTGTCGTTGCTACTGTGCTTTGCCATTCAGCTGCCCTTGTTGTTCTTGTCATGGGCTGAGTGGGGACTTGGTCCATGCAGCAGTTGCCTGGTGGCTTTCCTGCAGCAAAGGCTCTGGCCTGCCTGGAGGAAGATAAGAGATGCAGGTGTCTGCAGGTTTCTGGCAGAATAAACTCACTATAGCTGTGTCAGTCTGGTGCATAACTGCTGATGGGTGGGAAACGGAAGACCCTGTGAGTGAGCCAGCTTCCATCAGATGCTTTTGTGATGTTTGAGCCTTTCTCAATGCCAAGCAGATGTGTTTAGAAGCTAGGTTTACCTGCTCGCTAACAGAAGCCTTCTGATATGGTACCTCTCTCTTCGTCCAAACTTTCCTCTTCCCGTCCTTCTTGGACACTTGCTGCAGGTCGACTCCATTTTATTTGCTGAGTTCCAGGCCTGGAAGGAGTCTCCAACTCTGGATAAATCCTGCTCCTTCTTGGACAGAATTTACCGAGAAGATGTAGGACCATGTCTGGACTTCACTAAGCAGGAGGTGAGTGCTGGGAAAAGAGGAGAAAAATTGCGCAGTTAGGCAGCACTGAAGTTGCACCCTCTCTGGAGGTGGCAGTTGCACGTCCATACCTGCAGTCTTTTCTCTTTGCTGCAGCTATCGGAGCTGGTGCGAGTAGCTGTGGAGCAGAACACACTCACTATTGAGCCTGTTGCTTCGCAGACGCTGCCTGTGGTGAAGGTGTCAGCAGTAGAGTGTGGTGGGCCAAAGTAAGGAACCTTTTTGTGCTCCCTTTTTCTTCCCTTGCCGCTGGTCTTTTTGCCACCTCTGCATGGTGTTTGGCCAGGCCTTGCACAGTCGCATGAGCTAAAAAGGTACCGGGGCTCGACTGATTGTGCTCCTAGTTTATAATCAGCAGTAGTTCAGCTCAACTTAGTCCTCCATCTCATGTGAAGAGTTTGATATTTCGGCTCAACTGATGTACTGACACTGAGTATCAGTGGTGTGTTAGTGCCTTCAAGCTCAGAAGAGTGTGTCTGGTGGTTTTTTTGCAAACCCATTTTAATGGTCTCTGAAGAGTGTGTTTGTGCATACCCTAGGGTGAGAGAGCTAAGTGGGAGCTGTGTTATTTCATGTGCTTGCATCCCATGAGGTTTGAGCTTGCCTTGCACTGCTGACTTTGACAGTGCTCCAGGTGGATTTGGGCCTAGGTCATGAGAGACTCCTTCTTGCTGCTTGCCATCTCCCCCTGAGATGGCAAGGCTGATCTCTGAGGCTGTCACCTTACTATTGGAATTGGGACTGGGGCTGCTCCAGAGCTGCATGGCTGTATGTCTGATGTGACAAACAAATTACCTCAAGGAAAAAGAGCAGCAGCGGAAGGTGACGTGCCCTTCCAGGCCAAGAAAGGGGACTTCATTCAGCCATCAAATTGAAGTCTGGTCAAGGCGCTCTCTATTCTTCCTTCTTCTCCCTCTCCCCACTGTCAAGCAGAGCACCTTCTAGGCTAAGGTGTTCCTGTAACTGTGAACTCTGCTCACAGGCAGACTTCCTACCATGCTCTTCTGCATTTTTCTCTCGTCTCGTCTCGCAGGTTGTTTGGACACAATGTTCCATGAGCATGTGTCAGGCCTGTGCTGAGAACAACCCATCCTGTGTTTATCCTAATCAGTTTCCTTCTGACTTCTTTTGTCTCTTCACAGTGGGTTCCGGTCACAAATTGTAACGTAAGTGAAGTATTTATTTGTTTAGTCAGTGGTCAGAGATCTCTGATCCATTAACAAGTTACTAACTTAATGGGGATTAGCAGCTTTGAGGCCAGAATTGAACTAACCTGAATTCTTAATGCTGTTTAATTACCACCCAGACGAGGTGGTAAATAGCCTTGCTCTTGGCAATAAATGGCCCAAAAGGGGCTCGTCTGTGTTCAGATGCAAAACGCTGATTTTTAATGGCACCTTTGGGCATGTTGTGCAGCAGAGAGAAAGCAAGTGCCCTATTGCATGGGCCCCAGTCCAAAACTTTCAGGAGCCTAGGCAGGTCAGGACTGTGTTGGCTGCTGCGTTCTGTGACATTGTCCATGCAACACTGGAGTAAAATGCTGGTCTGTCCAGAAGATGCTGAGGCCTGATGGTGTGCTTGGCAAGGCACCCTGGGGTGTGTGGAGTGCCAAAGGGCAGGTGTTCTCATGTTTAGGTTACTCCTTGCTATAGTTGTGGTAACTTGTGTTACACGAAGTGGTACCAGTGCAGCTGGGAGTAACGAGCAGGATTCTCTTTTTTTCCTCATGTTCTGCAGTGCCTAAATTAAGGACCTCTTGAAGGTATCCGTTTTAGAAAGATACAGGTTGTCCTGCACTTTCTGAGGATTTAGTCCTCTTCAGATGTGTTAATGTTTGGGGAGCGAGCACATCTCATTGCATCTGAACGCTTGCAGCCCATGCTTCCACTTTTATCTGTTAGCTAATATTTGCTTGATAGGAGGGGAAAGCAAGTACTGACATACGCTCAGAAACTCTCCAGAGTGTCTGCTGCTGTGTTCGATGTCATCTTTTGTGGCCTCTGGAGCAATTCTTGCAGCTGGGGAGTGATGTCCCTCTTCCACCATGCAGACACTTGGTCTCTGAGACTGTGGTAATGACTATGCAGCAGGCAATTCTGCTTTACTGCATTAAGTGATGATGAAGGAAGCCACTGGCTGGTACTGAGAACCATTCATCGTTTTGTGTGAATAATGGAGGGAAATTGCAAGAAAAGAGGGGCATGCCCCCCTCTTGCTGATCACGTCCTTTGCTGATCTTCCTGGGCTCTGGGCCACCTTGAAAAGACTTCTGTTTTCTCTGCTTGACCTGCAGTCTCCTTGCAACCTCCTTGCAATTGTGAGCTAAGCTTTTACCCTGCCTGCACAAGAAGGGATTGACTTGTTCTTAGCAAGCCTTATTCAGAAACCTTTGAAATCGGTGCAAAGCCACTCCATGTGGCTTCAAGTGCAGTGGCTTCGATTTGGGCTCCAATTAATTAAAAGGAGCCCAGCATAAAGGCTGCCATGTAGCTTTTTTTGAGTTCCCAGTTTGAGCAGCTGGTGACACTATGGTTCGTGCCGCTTGGTGGTGAGAAAGGGTGGCACAAAAGCTTGAGAGGTCACGCAGAATTCCTGTTGGCTTCCTCTTGTGCCACAGAGGGGATCTCGCTTTTAAATCTTTCTTTTGAAGTTTCCATGTAACACTTGCAAGGTGAACAGCTGTCCTTAAGTGTTTTTCCTGGAGCGTGGTAGCCTTGTAGCCTTAGGTGTATGGTAAGGTCCAAGCAGGGACACCTCTCGAGGAAAATGCCACGTTGGAGGACACTGAAGAAAGGTGGCAAGTCCAGATGAATTTCAGGGCCCTACCAGTGATGGGGCTGATCCTACTCAAAAGCTGGAATTATCTGTTGTGAGACTGGGTTTAGTCCCCAGGCAGCATGTAAGTAACCCAGCAGGAAAACTGAGACGCTTGGGCAGAAGCTCCTGCTAAAGCCTCGCCTGGAATGTAGAAGAGATGTGCAGAGCCCTGATGATATTTATTATGCACTGCTTCGGGCTAACTTATTTCATGTTTTCTGTGGTTATAGGCTGTCTGCCACAGAAAGGATACTATCGTTGTTTACTTGGGCACGGACTATTTCATGGTACCAAATGTGTAGTCTAAGGTCTCCTAAACCTGCTATTTCTGGAAGCTTCTGAGGAGCAAAAGGCTTGTATTAGCCCTGTTTTTTCTTCTGGAAGCTGGCTGACGCAGGCCTGGTTTCTGAGCTCTTGCTCTCATCTCTTTTTGGAGATTTTCTTTAGCTTTTTGAATTGCCAAGCTCTGCTGTGCCCCTGGATTGCCATAGGCTGCAGTGTTGTTTTTCTTTCCCTGCAGGAAGTGTGCTCTAAGTGGCCTCCCCAGGACCTGCAAACACCGGATCATGCTGGGGGATTCTGGGAATTACTACTACATTTCACCATCCTGCAGGGCCAGGGTAAGTTTTCCAGCTTCCCAGGGTACCTTGGCCTCCAAAACTGTTCCAAATCCCAAGATGGAAGAGCTCTTGGGTCAGCCTTCAAACTGACAGAGGCCTGTGAGGGTTGAGTTTGGTTCCTGGAGTTGGGGTGGCCCTTGGTCAGGGCTGCTTAGGGTGTAGGTCTCGGGTCCATCTCGGGGTATGGTGCTCTAGCTTATGTTCCTTCAGGCAATCTGTCTTCAGTGTGACAATCTTCCATGGTTTAATTCATTACAGAACCTATCTTCTTTCTTCTTTTTTTTTTTTTTTCCTGTTTTCCCCATTCTTTGTAGAAGACTAATTTTCAGCTCTTTAAATGCTGGCTTTTGTTACTGTTCCAGTACAGATCAATGACTCAAATGGCTATGAGAACAAACTGTCCTTTTTTTCCACAGGGCAGGGAGAAAGTGAACCATTTATTAATGTTGCTGTTGGGGTCCTGATTCAGCAGAGCACTTTAAAGCATATGCCCTGTGCTGTTCTGCAGGTTCTCAGCATTAAGCGTGTGCCTGAATGCTTTCCTGAGCTGCAGATCAAAAGAGCCAGCCCTGCAAACATGCAACTTTCTGAGACAGGCTGTTGGGTTTCCTTGTGGCCTTAATTTGACCTTTTTTTTTTTTTTTGTCACTTGCACCAAAACAGTGCAGTATGTCATGAACTCCCTTTACCTCCCTGGGCGCACACTTTCTGCACAAACCTTTAACTCCAGAGTTTTTCATTCAGGCAGGTGACAGTGTTCTTGAAGGAAGTTCCTGGCTTTGCAGCTACTTTCAATGGTGATTGCTTATGTCTGAAGCTGTCAATAATCTGGAGTTCTTGCACACTTTATGTGCCTTGGGTGGTGCAATATCTTGGGATGAGATTGCAGATGCCCAGAACTTTGTTATTTTTACCAGCTTTCTTCCTCTCTTTCGTTCTGACAGAATTGTGGTGCTATTTTCCAGGTGCTGAGTGTGTTGAGAGAGTACTCCTGCTGGGTACTGTGGCTGGCCCCTTGACAGGCAAAGCAGTTCTATAGCTGACTCCTGTTTCTCTCTCTCTCTCTCTCTCTCTCACTCTCTCTCAGATCACAGCGGTGTGCAACTTTTTCACGTATATTCGCTATATCCAGCAGGGCTTGGTGAGGCAGGATGGTAAGAGGGGATAATGGCTGGGTGTGGTGGGAGTGCCCTCTGTGGGCCGTTGGGAGCAATTGAAAGGTCCTGTGCAGCGTGGCAGAAACGGGGCCAGCTTGGGGTACCCTGAACTCTCTGTGTCCTTGAGAAACAGTTAAATGGCAGAAGAGAGGCAAGAGAGGTTAATGTCTGGGAGGGAGAGTAGCCACCCCTTCCTTGCTCATCAGCTTGATGGGAGCTTTGCCCTGGGGTTGAGCTGGTATGGGAGTAAGCTGATGGGCCTGCCCTGCTGGTCCCTCCAGCAGGTCTGCTTCCCCCCCTTTGTGGATGATTCTGGTTGGGCTGTGCCAAAAACATAGTACAAAATCAAGTCATGTCCAGCTGTGCCTTGCTCATTGTTTTTTTTCCCTCCTCTTTTCCCACTCCCTTTTGCTTTGCAGTGGAGCTGATGTACTGGGAAGTCATGCGGCTCCGGAGGGAGATGTCTCTAGCCAAACTTGGGTTTTTTCCCAGCGAGATGTAAGCTGGGGCCTGAGCGTGGAAGGAAACTGCTCCTGTTCAAATGGCCTGCCAAACATGGTTTGCCAAACAGATGAATGTGGTGCCTCTCCCGTAATGGGCCTTGCTTCCTCCCCTCCTTCGCTCCTTCTGCCTGATGCTGATCGTGGAGCAAGAAGCACAACTTTCCCCTTTGGCTGTCCCACTTCTCCTCCAACTGTGACTGGAATGCAGCCACCGTGCTGCCCTCTCAGAGCCAGGCTGGTCCTGGCTGCTCTCGGGGTGGCCACCTACGGACTGTCCTCTGTGGAGTCTCCTTTATGCAGTCTATATCCAGTTTTTAAACTTTTTGTTTTTATATGCAGTCTGCTTTGGCATAGTCTGAGGCCGGTCCTGTGCAAGGCAGGAGTCTTGGGCTCCCTTCTTTGTAAGCAAGTCTTTCAGGACAGATGCTGGCTGTCTGTCCACTCATTCCTTGGGGTGGAAGGCGCTGTTGCCCAGCCATATGCCGAGCCCCTGCTGATCACTTACTCCTCTAATGACCCTGCAAATGCCAGCAGCACACAATAATCTCATGGAGAGCCATGAACAGCTTGTTTCCAAGTACTTCCTTGCTCCTTTTAAGGAGCCTTCAAGAGAAGCTTTCTGCCAGCTGAGTCACAAAGAGGGTTTTGTTTCTGTTTTTAGCTTGCGATTTGGCACTGGGTTCTTGTAATCTGGGCTGGGGAAATGACCAGAGCTGAGGCCAGAGCTGTGCACCTGGGGCCTTCAGCAGAAGAAAGTGAGCAGGGAAATTGTATAACTCGCAGCTGGCCACAGCTTGGCTGTAGTCAGTGCAGAATGTTTTCTCCTGGCCTAGGGAATCGGCTGCAGTCATCACAGGCAGATGCAGGCCCTCAGGGATGTTGCCCTGTGACAGTCCTAGGTGCAGAAAGCCACCTGTGGTGCTCTTAAATACAAATCTTGGCCACGGACAAATGCCTTTGAGCTGTTTGTGCTGAGGGTAGCTTTGGGCACTGCTCTTCCCACTGTCCCGGTAGAAACCAAGGTCCCAAGCCAGCTTCTTTCTCTGTCCAGAAGGTGCGTGCCTAGGTTGGGCTCTGTCTTGAGACCCAGAGATTTCCTCCCCAGTATAACACCAGGCCTAGAGATTCACTTCCATTGGGGAAATTCAGCTTCTCCCAGGCTACCATCCCCCAATGGGGAAGTCTGAGACATCTTTGTATACCTGTGTGAGGGATGTGGCCACAGTCTGTTTCTGTATGCCTCAAGACATGCTGGGAGGGACGTGGCCAAAGCTTTTGGAAGGGAGGGGCCCTCTATAGCTTGAGCTCAGCCCCAGGCCCTGTCTATACAGAACTGTGTTAAAGCCATGGCAGTGTTTGATGCTGATTAGCTGCCTTCAGTGACTGTGGAATCATCTCTGTCACCACCCTGGGGCTTTCATCTCATGTAGCATTTCTGCACTCTTGCTCTGGGATGTCACCCTGTCTCTGCTGTCATAAGAGCTCCTGTCTTAGCAGATTGGTGCTCAGAACCACATCACCAGCCTCAGCTCCACTGAGTTTCGTCGTCTCCTGGGAGATGCTGCAGTAGGAACTTTGTATCTTTAGTGGAAAAAAAACCCCCTAACAGCTGCTGTGGTTTTGTCTAGGGGAGGGAGGAATAGACTGGAGAAGACCAAGTTCTGGTTTAGGAGCTAATGCAAGGACAGCTTCACAGCAGATCTGAGAAAATGTTGCTGTGGAAGACCTTCATGAGTGCATGCTTTTCTGTCACTGAGCAGAGACTTACTGCATGCTGCTGAGTTGCTTCTCAGGGGACTCCTTTCCTTATAGCCATACTGGCATACGTCGTCACTTGCCAAGGGTGAGTAGCCACGTGAAACCTCAGTTGTCATCCCCAGAGCTGGGAGAACGCACCTTCCGCTCCGAAAGGGCTGAAGCCAGAGTGGCTGTTACCATCCTGGTTCTGCGTTTGCCTCCCTCACAGCTGAGTGCCCCTGGCTCATGCTGTTGACCGTAGCTAGGTGGGTGCATGTGTCTGCTACTCTTCCACAGAGAAATAAGTTTCAAATGTGGAGTAACGGTATGGAGAAAACATCTTTGGTGTAGAGTCAGGCTGGGTCTTAAGCTGATAATAAACCTGCACTTTTTTTGTTGGTGTCTTCAGATTCGTGGCAATTTGACATCAGCTTTTCAAGAGGGGAAAAAGTAGAAATGCTCTTCCCCAGCTGCAGATTTCAGCTCAGGTAAAGTCCATTCGTGGTAGTTTCCCCTTGGATCTGATCCCCTGACCTTTGGATGTCTACATGTTGCCCTGTGCCATTAGCTGCTGCATTGCACAGCAAGTGTTGCTGCATTGCAGCGGTGGAAGTGAGATGATCTCTGTGTAGGAGATGTTTTGGTCCGTGGGGTTTTTTCCCGCCCAGCGTCACTTTGTAAAGCACTTTGGGATGAAAGGAATTAAACAAATGCATTATATAAGGTTGTCTTGCATTTAAAAGAAAGCATAAAGAACAATTTGTAAATTAACCTGAAGTTACTCTGTTAACAGCGGGATGGTTGCACCCTACTCTTCATTAAAGGAAAATAAACATTTGCTGTTAACCTCCTGAGGTCTGGTTGCAGTTCAAGGGGTCAGGCTGGTACATATGTGTGTGAGAATTCAGTAGCCAAAAGAAAAATCCACTTGCCATGGGGGAGTTTGGCTGGCTCATGGTCTGACCTGGGATAATAGGTGGGAGTTTGCGAGGAGTGGTTGAGTGATGAGGAGTAGTAAAAAGCCTTTGAAAATTCCCTATTTACGACCTTACGGCTGCCTGGGAAGGAACAAGCAATAGAAGTGCTAGAGGATGAAGCAGAGAAGGGCTGTCAGTTTGACTGCATGACAGAGTGGATATTAGGTTTTGATTTCCCCTCAGCTGGCAGGCTCGCAGGGATTGCTTATGTTCACGGCGAGCTTAAGGGGAAAGGTTGCCTCGGTGGCAAGCTCCGTGCCCCGTGTCTGCTGCGGAGCTCTTGTGCTGGAACATGGCTAAAGGTGCTGCAGGGCGGGGGAGAACATGCTGTCTTCCAATGTGAAGCAGCTGGAGGAGTTGGATCTTCCTTCTGTAGTTAGAAATTTTAACCTTGCAGGCAGAGAAGGCAATGAATAGCCTTTTAGCGGTGCTGCTGAGCTGCAAGATGCTCTGGAAGCTAGTGCTCCCTTCTGGGCAACTGGAGTCCTGTGGGCTTATGCTCTACACGTCTCTCACCAATGTGTGTCCTAAGGGATTAGGGTTTTAAATTGTTTTTTTCAGTCTGCCCCTCCTGTAACTGGCTGATGCTTGAGTTTGGCAGGATAGCTCAACTCTTGCATTTTCCCAAGAGTCCTCCATTTGCTCTCCCTGCTGGGTGATGATTAACCCTAGTGCTGAGGGCTGGCATCCTGCAGGGCTGGGGAAGTGCCAGTTAGATCCTCACTGGACTCCAGATTGCCCAGCTTGCTGGGCTTTTAACTTGATTAATTCATCAGATTATTTGGGAGGATGAAGGGGGACTGTGGCTGGGTCATCCTTGTCTGTGGACACCCTGACAGGCTTCTAGCCCTTGGGCAACTCTTGGAGCCACAGCAGAGGCAGTGCCCTCCCTTTAGCTTTGGAGATTAACATGGAAGATCTCTTGTACCTTTGGTGATGGCAGTGGAGGGGCAAAAGCAAAAGATCAGTGATCTTTGAGAAACTAGATGGATGTACAGCCAGAGCAAAAAACAGCATCAGGCCTTGTAACAGTAGCAGTTCACCTAGGAACTGGGGGTGCTCTTGTAGTAAAGGTCAATTTGCATTAGGACGAGTGAGAGAAAGACAGGCCTCGGGGACCCTTGTGCCTGTGGGAGACTGTGCAGCAGTAGGGCTCCGCTCTTGCACAGCGGTGGCAAGAGAGGTGCTCTGGTCCTGCCCCTGGGTTTTCTCTGGATTCATGCTTGATTCAGGGGTGGTTGGGCCTCAGCAGTTTTCCCGTGCCTGTGCAAATGTGGGCGTTGCCTTCCTCTGAGGGGATGAGTGGTCAGTTGTTGCTGCTCTAAGACTGCCTTGGCCTGTTCAAGTCAGCGTGGGTGAGTAAGATTTGTCCCGACTGGATTTGCACTCTGGTGTCTCGCATCATGGGAGGGAGAGAAGGGCACAGGCATCTTGGCTTCGATGAGTGCCCGGACAAAGGGGCTGCCACCTCTCAGGTCTGGAGGACACCGACAAGCAGTTGTGCTCACCGATGGTCCTGTGACTTTTCTAAAGGTGTTGTCATTTTACAGGACAGATCATCTGGATGTGGAGAAGGGAACCAACTTACTATCACAAACAGACTGTGGTGCTGCCTGCCTGTCCTGCTTGTGCCCTCAGTACTGTTGTTGGAGTAGAAAGGGTGCATAAGCAGAGGAGAGCTGCCAGGGTGCAGCAGAACGAATCCCCGGGGTAGATGAGAGCTTCGTGGAGGAGGTGGCCCTGATGGCTGCCTGCCAGGGTGCAGCAGATAATGTCGGAGTAGTTAGGGCCAACCAAACTCAGCGCTGTTCTCTGCGTTTCACTTCCCTGATCTGTCTTGGGTGGGCTGTCACTTGTGGTTCAAACGACTGTAACGTTGCTCTGTGGTTTTTAACACCTGAATTGTCCTGCGTTAGAGCAGATGCATCTCAAACTGAGAGCTGTCTCTAGAGTGAGATATCAAATGTTGGGGGATCCTCCAGAATCTATGTTTAAAAGTAATGTACAAGTCTGTTCTCTGCAATGGGCAGTAGCCTCTCCTCTTTTTCGCCATTGGTTTGGCCCTACCTAGTGCAGCGCAGTCGCAGTGTGCAGAATGGCTCTGTTATTGCCAGGCAGCCACAAGAGGGCACAGACAGATTAGGCAGAGACTGCCCTGCCTCACTGGTGTCAGCCCTGCCTAGGTAGGGAGAGGGAGTCCCCATGGGGAAAGCAAGTATTTCATTTCAGATCACCTACGGAGTAGGTGATCCACCTCACCTCTGGCCTGACTCTGAGAAGGCAACATGGCTGCTAATTTGTTCTCTACAACTGTTTGCCAGGTGTATTTCTGTAGCCTTTCTTGCCAGCTGTGGAAAATCTTGTCTTAGATGGGTACAGCCTTCCTGGCCTGTTGCTGGGTTTGTGTGTGTGTGGCAACAGCAGCCCTTTGGTTACTGTTGAAAATGCCTCACTGAAGAGTGAGTTTTGTCATGTGTGTTTGTCCATGCGTACACTCCTAGCACTTGTGTTCCCCGCTGACAGCTGTCGCGCTCAGTGTGACGTTGGGCCCTGATGGTGCTGAGCTCAAGAGGACCAAGGCGGGTGAATGTGTTGGCTTTGAAACTGTAGCTAACAGGAGAAAGCAAGACTATGACATCTCTCTTGAGAACAAGTGGGCTCAGCCACTGCTAAATAAGCCTGTCCACAACCCAGAAGCACAGTGCACTGGTCAGGAAGCCCTCTGTAGAGCTGGGAGGGGTAAAGCTGTGTGGACTGAACTTTCAGTGAAAGACCTCTAAAGACAGTTGTGGTGTATATTCTATATGGAGACCTTAGGAACAGCTATGTTGTGGGACAGGAAGAAGAGCTATTATATCCAGTGAGGTTATTTGAGAGTTGAATAGAGGAGCATGTGGAGGACACACATATCTAGAAAGAGGGAGTGAAATAAATTAGAATAACTCATGCTGGAAAATAAGCCCCCAGGGGGTGCAGCCTAAGTTGGGACAGCAGGTGAATGAGGCACCTGCCCTGAGTATCTCCTGCCATGATGCAGGAGACATCTGGCTCGGTGGTGGTAGGGTTTGAGTTTCTAGCCAAGCTCCAGCGGTTGGGAACTCTCCATTACCAAAGGGCAGGAGGGGCAGCCCCGGTTCAAAGTATTTCTTGTTCACAGACAGCAGCCGCAGCGGGCGAGTGAGGTTACACAGAGAGCCAGCAAGATGAAGCTGCTGTGTGCGATCTTTCCTGAGTTTAGCTGCAAGGATCTGGCAGAGCAAATTGCTTTCTTCCAAAATCCAGTGGAGGAGGAGGAGTGAAGGGGTTTTCTTGCAATGGAAACCACCACTTGCCTTTCCTTCTTTCTGTGCTCCTGGCCCCTGGAGATCTGGCAGAGCAATGGCCTGGGCCTGGGCCAGCAGAGCAGTCATGCCTGGCTTCCTCCCCTGTGCCTGTGAAGGAAGAAGGTAAGGAATGAAGTAGCCTAAATGTCCTTTCTCCCCCTTGCGCTTTGGGGAACCTGATGTCTCCTCAGCTTCCAAGTGAAATGTGGGGAGGGCAGCAGCTGTGCAGACAGTGAGTGGTGCCCGTTTGCTGCAGTGGCTGCCTGGTGCAGGGCTGGTTCCTCAATACTCTCCACTTTTGGTCCTGATTTTGTGGAACTCACGAGCAAGCTGAGGGAGGGGAGCCCCATGGCCTCCTACCCTCCCTGAGGTAGAGCTGCAGGAACGCCGCTGTGGAGCGGTATGTAACCACGTGCCAAAGAGTCCCTCCACGTGGAGACGGACTCTGAGCTTGGCACAGCCATCAGATTCTGCTCCTCCAGCCTTTAGCCATCCAAGTGCTTCGTGTCCGGCTCTTGACCTGAAGCGTCTCCTCCAGTCTCTTCCTCCTTTCTCATACCTTATGCCGCCCTGCAGAGCCCAGCTCTCCAGTGCTATGGAGAAGTTTCCTTTGATAGAGGGTCTGCTCTCCTTATGCTCCAACTAACCCCACGTCCCGTGCAGGAAGGTTTGACCTTGCAGCCCCACTGACAGCCCTGTCTGCAAAGTTTGGCCAGTTGGATTTAATTGAGTCAATACTGAGGACAGGACAGACATGCCAAGCCCTTTGAACAGAGTCTCTGGGTCTGTTGTACGTGCTGCTGTAGCCTTTCTCCTTTCTCCTTTGCCCCACAGCCTAGGGCCTGCTAGCCTGTTCAGAGCCAAACAAGGGATTTGAAGGGGTGGTAGTTAAAACTTATCCGCCTTCATAGATGCGTTTGCCTTGCTTGAAGGACAGTGGGCAAAACCATTGGAGAAGATTGTTTTCCTTCCTCTGTCCTTCATAAATCCTTTCTCCCTGCTGTAAAGAATGCGCTTATCAAAGTTTTGTATTATGTTTGGAGTTCCATGTCCATAAAGCGGCCTTTTTTTGTAATTCCCTTGCATTACCAGGCTCTGTAAGCAGAAAAGGATTTGTGTGTGACCTCGACCTCATCTTAGAGCTGCAGTGGTCTACCTGTTTGCCCTGAGGATGTGCGAATAACACCGGAACCGGGGAAGGACGCTCCAGGAAGAGCAGCGGTCCTCAGTGGTCCCTGTGACAATTCATACAGAGCCTTGGCCAGCTTTAGTAATGACGTTTTGCAGTAGCAGTATATAGATGCAAATGTATACATGCCCTCCTAGTGTATCCATAGTGCCAAACACTTTGCCACCAGCATCTTTGCTGGCAGTCTTGGATGCGGGCTGGATGTTGCCAACACACAACTGTAACCAGGTTTGCAGGAGTCAACGTGTTGTGGTCTGGTGCTGGAATGTGAATAGCCTGGCATGTTACATATTTGGCATGCGTCATGTAGGACAGCTTCTCTCTAGAACTCTCGTTGGAGTGGATAAGGTATGTACATGCGCTTGATAAATCTGGTGTACTTGTATGTGGGGCTTTGAGCATTTGTGCATGTATTAATGGTAGGGAGGGATGGGGATCTGTAGGTCCACAATAACACACCTTAGCCTGGCCTGCGAAGGAGTCTGGGTTTGGACCAGGAGTATTTTATTTCTCTAGCAGAAGCTAGCGCTATGTACAATGAAGCGTGTTTAAGCACTTAAACATTAATACGAGTGAGTGCAGAATGTCGTGGACTTTGAAAGGGGAGAGCAGGATAACGGGGCCTAGAGATTTGGCTGCTCATGGGAATTTCCTAGGACTGCTGGTCCTGTCCTTCACCCTGCCTTTGAGCTTACTAAAAACTTGCTGAGGCTGTAAATCAGGCTGTCTTTGCACAGTAGGTCAGGCTGTCCCCAAACACATGGAGAGAAGTATGTTTCTGGGAATCGATAAATGGGAGATTTTGGTGTGTGTATTTATTTCATGCATGGACAAGGAAAGGGAGGAGGTAAGCAGATGGCCTTAAAATTGCTCAAAAAAATCAACTATTTCAGAGCTTTCATCATGACTAGTAACCCTCCTTTATGCCAAATGTAGCAAAACAGCAAGGATTACTGGAGACTGGGTAGGACTGTATAAACAGTGAGGAAATTCTGGAAAATCAGAGATCGTGGCCCTGCCAGGAAGCATTCGATATCCTGGCACGCTTCTGAAGTTTCACGTGGCGCTGGGAACTGGGACTGGTCAGCTCTGCCAAGCTAACACGTTCCTTATAGGAGCAATCTCTGTGGTGCCACTGTCACTGGAAGCCAGGAGGTCAGTTTTCCTATTTATCATGTCAATATTCTCATGTTTGTATGAGGGCTATCAGACTGAGCTGATAAGTGCCAGAATGCTGACTTTACCTGACCCATGAAGGCACGTGGACTTTGTGCTGGCTTACATAGAATTTGCAGAATTGTCAGGTGCCAGAACAGGCCCCCCGTGGGGTAATTCCCCTGGTTGCAAGCCATCATTTGGATAGCAGGATGCCCTCCAGCCCTGCTTGCTCTGTGGCTGTAGTGGTGCCCTTCAGATGTTTGTGTTGCTTAAAGTCCTGTAGTTGCACACCTGCTCAAGTGTGCCACTGTGCGCTTTGTGGTGTGGGCAAAACGGCTGGCACCCAGTGGACAGTGAAGGCCCTTTTGGAAGGGTCGATGCACAATGGCTGGGTCTGGGCCGTGGTAAGGCAACTACAAAAGCCTATGCTCACAGGAGCTTGGCTAAGCAGCAGCAGATGCATCCTCTTCTTATCAGAGAGATTGGCAGGTTCAAGTCCAAAGGGACCAACCCTTCTGTACTTACTGAGTAACTGTGTGTTCTGTGGGTCACTGCGTTGATCCTGGGGGATCCTGCCACGTGGACAGTGTGGCAGAAGGCGCTGGAGCGAAGAACAGGGACAGCTTTAAAGAGGCTACTTAATGGGCAGGGACAGCAGACATGCAGGGGAGGGAATGTGAAAGGAGAGCAGATTAGAGAGGAGGCAAGTTGAGTGGCATATAGCCTTGGGAGGGGACTTGCTCTGGATACCTGGTGTGGTGGGAAATGGTGGGAGAATTCATGAAAGCTCAGTATAATTTTGTTAGTCAGAAGGCAGATGTGCCTTGCACAACCTGAAGAAGAGAGAAGTGCAAGAACTGCTTTTGGGATGGATTAGAAGGGAAAGGGAATATAGAGAAAATGAGACTGCATCTAGTTGTGGGCTGGATGTGAGGGGAAGAAGGACAGATCAGAGTTGATAGTGGTGCCTTGGCTCAGGAGACACCCTAGCACTGTTGAGTGTGCTGGAGCGGAGACAGCAGGGAAAGTTTGGGAGGGAAAGGTTAATATTTAGCTCCCTTTTGGCCAGATTGAACTGGAAGTGATTCCCCATGTAGGAGACGATATCAGACTCGTTTGGCTGAAGAGAAAAAGTTGAATCATTGGAACACTCTGGTTACTTAAAAGTAACACGAGTGACTGAAAAGTGGTGCACAGCTATTTGTACAGAAGGAAAAGAAAGAAGCCCCAAAGCAGTTCCCTAAGGGACCCTCTTAGACAAGGGAATCGTGAAAGGGAAGCTGAAAAAGAAGTTGAAGGCGGTCCTTGGAAAGTGTTGCAGAGAGAGGCTCTAGCACTCATTTTGTACTCCTTGGAAAGCTTTGAATGTTATACTCATGGGCACACAGACCTTCATGAGCTGTTTAACTGAATATATGATATCAGAGACTTCATTCATGTTTCCCGCTTATGCTTTCACTTGAGTTCTGGAGCTGTTGGTGTTCCTCTAGCAAATATATAAGCTGTAGCAGTTCAAGAGCAGCTCTTTCTGCCCTTAATTCCCCTGGCTCATTGTGCTAATTCTGCTCTATTAATCACCTTAGAGTTGATCTGAGGTGCCTTCTTCCAACAGACGTCTATGTCAATCATGACTGAAAGAAACAGCTCGCTCATTTTGCATCAGAATTGCAGCTGGGGCTGGAGGAGGTGACTTATCCATTGCCTCTGATGTCCTTCTCGTTTGTCAGGCCACCAGCTGAATGCCAGCTGCCAGAAGTGGTAAGGAACAGGACAGTAGTCCAAATCTCAGTCAAGTTGCTGACACTGTCGTGGGCATAGCAAATATTATTTCAGTGGATATTGGAGGAGGGTCTAATGGTCCTGTGAGAGGTTGGTAAGAGTGGTGTTGGACAGGTGAGTGCATGGCAGAGCCTGAAAAGCCTGGCAACTCTGGTTTGCGTTAAGCTGGAAGAGTCTTCTACTTTTGTGCATGCTGACTGAGGGGACACGAAGACGAAATCTTCCCTCTAGACACCGCCAGGTAGATGGGCTCATCTGCCACTAAAATCATGATATGCATGTGTTGGAGAGGAGAACACGGACCTCATGTTTAACTGCCAGTTCAGTTTGTCTTTCTAGCCCCCTATCCTACCAAACCATTGCATATCCATGGGTTTAGTGATACTTCACTCTTGATTTGCAAAGGGATTCCTGGGGTGCCGACTAATTTAGAAACTTCAAGCCCTGCAATGAGATCCTTAAAAACCTGCAGTGACTCTGTAAAGATTTGGGAGCTATCCTTCTGGTTCTAAATTAACACAGTCCTCCAAATATTTTGGCCTGGCCTGGTGCCATGCTGGGTCCATGCTGTGAGATGCTTCAGGACTTGAATATGTTTCAGCCGTGTGTAGGAAACCTCTGTGATTAGTCTTCCCCTGGAGTATGAGGAAGAGAGTAAAGCAGCTGATTGGAGTTTCAGGGAGCTTGGTAGGGCTTCCCCCTTCCCTCAGAGGTTTCCGGACAGATGGAGCCTAGGAAGGAATGTCTTGTAGGAACAAACTTAGAACAGTTTCCTATTTTTCCCCCTAACAGCAGAGTGGTCATGCTGCTGCTATATTTTGTGCAGGCCATACTGTGGAAGTGCTTATTCCTATGCTTTCGCTCATATGTTGTGCACTTAAAGGTCAAGAATTGATAATGTGAGTCTGTGGCTAAGTTATGGGGTAAAATTTACCTCCTTTGCTGTGGATGCTGCTTTTGTATCATACTGCAAATGTCACAAGATCAGAGGAAAATTTAGGCTGGAAGGGATCTCTGGAGGTAATTTAGTCCTACCTCCTGCAGGGGTAAATTGGAGTTAGGTCAGATCGCTCAGGGCCTTATTCAGTCGAGTTCTGAAAATCCAGAAGTAATTCTACTGTTGTCAGCAGTAGTGTCACTAGCTTCTCTCAGTTATGCTGGCGTAAAAAGCCTGGCTTTACACATTCGGAATCCACAAATGTCCTAAATACCAGCTATTGCAGCATGTGTGCTCCTGCATTGTGACTTGTGTTCACTGTCTCAGCAGCATGCGTGTTAGAGTTCAAAAAACACAGCTATAATGGCCTTTCTAAAAACTGGGAACGCTTAAAACATATTTGAACAGAGCCCTTGAAAGTTGTCCTGACTTCTGTCTAGAGGTGGTTACAGAGCCACCACAGAAAAGAAATTGCTGCTTAATCTCCCTCCCCCTTTTTGTGCAATTCATTTGCATGTCAGGCAGCAGAGCAATGATGCAACATCTCTCTGCTTTTTCTGTATAGATTTATGGTTATGCAGACAGACACATGAATGGACTAGAAAAAAAGAAGCTGATGCTCCTATTGCTTTTTTTCTTACTATTTTTAATTTTTAATTTTTCATTGACCAGGATCAACCGTGGAGAATCTTGTCCTTAAGGCACCTTAAGCATCAGTGAAAATCATGAAAATTATGACTTCTTTGTGGTAGGACGTAGGTAATGACGCTGGCTCCTGCTTTGTGCGGGTCGCTGCAATCATAAAGGAAGATCACAGAAGAGAAAGTGCAGTGCTTCCTACCTTTAATGTAAAATGGGTCACTGCTCAACACGACAGAGGAGTGCAGATCTGACAGTAAGGTAACTGAAGTCACTTAAATGAGTCAGACCAGTATATTAACTGTACCCACTTCAGCTAGGATTTGTGCAATCCCAAGCAATTATTTTGACCAATCTTCTCATTGTCACATAAAAATTCAGCACCTGGCCAATAAATTACACTGTTGTCTAACTGGGCGAAGAACCTTGCCTTGGGCAAGGCTTGTGCTGCCGTTATGAGGATCCTTTTTATTTGCTTTTTTCCTCCCGTTCTTCTTCTGAGAGTCTTGAAGTCCAGGTGAGCCTTCATTAGAAGGCTTCTTTGGCTTGACCTGAGTAATCTGTGCCTGGTAGTCAACCATCAGTTGTTAGTAGAGGGTGGGAGAGCACTACTTCAAAATTCAGCAGTATTTAAGAAAAAAAGTCATCTTTTGCATCGGCGGGGCTTCCTCATATTTGCAACTAAGGGAGCTCCACGTGGATTGAACAGCACCTTTCTTTATAACACTGCTTGCTGCCTTGGGTGGAGTCCCAGAGCACAGGCAAAGCCTAACAATGATCTTTTTGTCTCAGGATAGGCCTTTGCAGCAAACTGTGGTCGTTCATGTTGAAGTCT